CTGTAAGAAGCTAACCCAAACATACCCTTAATATAATTGAGTCACCTGAAATATCTCTTGTAGTGATTGACATTAAAGTTCATGGTTTCAAATTTAGAAATTATAGTTAATCACATTAAATTTATATCACATTTACCTGTCTCAGTTGTATGAAGAGTATACGAAGGAGGGTTGCTAGAAAGTGTTCTTAGCATTTTTCTTTTGTGTATAATAAATGGAAAATGATTAATATAATATTAAGTTTAACACATTTTTCAATAACTATTCACTTTAGTTATTAAAATATAATATAAATACAATCAATTTAATTAATGATTGTAACTTGTATGTGTGACGACATCTATAATTTTTTTTTTAAATTTTATATCAAAAACTAATAATTTTTAATAAATATATTATATAATATGTTAAACTAAAGAATATACCAATTTATAACCATAACAAGTTCATGATTTAGAACCTAATTGGGCCTCTAAAGCATGATGAAATGCTACCATGGGCCTAACAGACCCAATGCATTATTTTCTTTCCATTGGTCAACGAGATGATAACTCCACCACCATTTGTATTTTTTTTTTTTTAAATTTAGATCATATAATGGAAGATATATATTTTTATTTTTTAGTTTACTCTATTTGCACATCATACAACTTAAATTTAGATTCTCTTATTTATATTAAAAGAATATTATTACTAAACTACTTATGAGATTATTATCCGTATATTGAATAGTAGTATTATATTATTATTGTATAATTCTACCATTATCTTAGATAAAACAACAATGATAATAGGGCTTTCTTCTGGTTTAATTGTGATTATGGATAAAGTTGAAAAGATAGACGCTAATTATTACATTAAATGAAAATTTTCAGTAATCATAAATGAATAAAATGGGACAGTTAAATCATACTACAGGTAATAACAAACACTACTGCAGGAATGGGATATTCAGATCGAAATATCCGGACCGATATTGGTCCCTATAGTTGATCTAAAAAAACCTGGTACGATAAAATATAATATACAGACCGACACAAAATCGGTCTATATATATATAATATAAGGACTGAAATCGGTCCGTATATTTCAGTAAGAAATATAAATGGTTATTTAAAAATTGAAATAAGCAGACCGAAATTGGTCCCAAAAAAATAATATAATAAAATAATAAAATATGTACGAACCGAAAACGATCTGGAAATGTGGTGGAAAGAGGTATAGCAAATATATACGGACCGAGATCGGTCCGAATATGGAGAACCCAACAACAACTTTTAAAACTTGCAATTATATCCAGACCGTTTTCGGTTGGAATATGTTGGACTTTCTTGTAACTTTTAAAAATTACTGTCCCAACCGGCTTCATTCTGAAAATATATCCACACTGGTTTCGGTCTAAATATATTGGACTTGGTTATAACTTTTAAAAGTTCCATCTCCAACCGGCATTATTCTTAAACTATATCCAGATCGTTTTCAGT